AAAGAGAGGGAAACAAATCATATTCGTATTTCAAGGATTGCGACTCTGAGAGGAGCAAGGAGGCCTTAATTAAAGCAAGATGGGTCATTTGAGGGCATAGAGGCATCGATCAGGCCCAGAAGAGAGGGGAGCGAAATGCATCTTAAAAAAACTGGGCTACATGTGCAAAGACTTAATCCCGTACTTGCTGCTGAAAGTCAAAAAGGCAGTCAAGCCACTAAAAGATGCGCTCAACTTTGCTTAGGCTTTGTTCATCATTTCTTTGTGAATCAAAACCTATGACTTGGGGTTGTTTAAGTTTTCCATGTTGTTTTTCAGATGTCCCTAGCTCAGAGCTTCATGGACGTCTATGCTCTCACTTCAAAAAAACTCCATGCCTCATCAATTATTCACCATCTGTGAGTGCCTCCTAAACTTCTCATATTAAGCCTTCAAAGTTTTACTTTAATGACGTCCCAAGTTGTGCTGGCAATTATTAGCTCACACTGTGAACTGCAGATAAAAATCAGTGACATCTCTAACGGCTTTTGCAAGTTATCTGCAAAAAAGTGGTGCACTGAATTGATTGATCTCCTTTATTTCCCCCAAGGAAATCCAGCCCTTTTCATTAAATGTGCATGTAACAGACTGTCATAATTTCCCCCTTGTGATGGTTCAATATGTATTGAAATCCTCTGACAAATTTGCTGTGGAAGTTGATGAAATATTTGCCTCAGCATAATTCCATCATTTCGTCTTAATTTCAGCTGTCAGAAAATTCCGAAGGACTCCCAGTTGCAGTCAAGGGCGATGGATGGAAACTCTTTCTTGGCAGAGTGGAAGTGGATGAACTGGAATCAGATGACCTGCTTTTCTACATGCTTTGCTCCTTCTTCATATTTAACATTGAGTTCCCTCCATGGAATATGAAGACATTAGACATATTGGAAAGGTGCCTATTCCGTCTTACAGTGGCTCCATTGTGTCAGCCTGTAAGGCGTCTCTTGATGAAGCTCAAGTAAATTCTAGAAAATTGCTGCATACATGCAATTAGAGATATTCATAATTTCAGTTAAGCAAGAAGCTCTGGAAAAATATAAGTTGCAAGAAATTGCAACATAACTGTTTAAGTCCATAGTTACCATGGAATAATGATAGGTGAACTTGTGGATGTTCAAGAATTATGTGCAATATTTTCCGTTTATTTTTTCATTTGGCTTGGCTTAAAATGAAAATTTAATGAGAGATAATATGTTTCTCAGGCTTGATTGAGCACATCACGTCGTGAACGCAACTTTTTTTGCCATATTCATAGGGTGCATCTAATCCAATGTGATGTTTCTGATTTAAAACCTTGATTAAATATATTAAACTTCCCCAGGCCGTTTGGGAAATTCCTCAATGGACATCAGTTGCACTTTTCAGCCATATTTCCAATGTTATTGATGCTTAATAAAATTCATTTGATTGCCTGTTCAAATCGCAGAGTCCTTCCTGCAGCTTCTGGCATTTCATTACTAAAGTCCTGCATGAGGTTCAAAAGCGACCCCTCATGGCCTGGTGAAAGTTGAAAAAAGAACAACATTGCTTCAAAGTGATGCCTTCTACGAAATGAATTGCACTATTAAGCCTGAGTTCAATCTGGGTCTAGTGAGGTCCTACTGCTTCTGCTAGAAAGAATTATGAGTACAACAGACATACCACGTGCATCATATGGGGACAATGCATGAAAGTTTTCAGTGTGGCTGCAATACAGGACATGCAAGGCAAATTCCAACGTGGCTGAAGTTCTTTGTGAAATTTTCAATGCGGCAGAAGTGCTTAATATACCTGACATAAACACACAGAATCAAATTAATGCAATTTGGTAGAGAAAAAAGTTGTCCTCCATATGATGCATTTTCATCGCATCCAAAATTCGATGCGATAAAGACGCATCACATGGAGGACAGATTTTTTCACGAGAAAAATGCACCGAACTGAGGCACTGACTTTTCGGTGTGTAATGACGCTAAAAGGCCAGAGGGTATTAAAATAATTCCTGAAAGATTAAATAATAAATTCACAAGAGGGCGCTTCAAGCACTGTAAAACTTACCCTTAAAATACAATCTTGGAACGTTTAGGAAAAGCAACTAACTGCTCCTCCCCAGACCCCTGAACCATCCCGCTCTCATCATTCTTGTGTGAACTGTTCTTTTTTCTGGGGCACCTGAACTGATGAGGGTAGAAACCAATTTATTTTCTGCCTCACTCGACTTTCGCTGCACTTCCTCCTTCTGCTCCCTCTATTCCTTCGCGCAGGGCTTTTTTCTGCCGCAGAGGAATATTCTGAGCGCACTATCGCTCAAAGCTACTTTTCACTTCCTTCCCTCACACCTTCCTTTCACGCTCCTCTCTCTTTCCTTTTTCTTTTGCTCTTTCTGAGCATGGAAAGAAATAATAATGAAATAAATAAAACCAATACAGACCCTCCCACTCTTACTTTAGCGGACAATCCATTGCCTCACTCCTGAAAAATCCCTCTCGCATGACTTCAAGGTCTCAAATAACACCCTGCTTCAGCTCTTCTCACCAGGGCGCCTGATAAGGCCCTTCCGGCCGGCTGGCACCTGGAGACACCTATTCTTCCTATGGGGCATCTATCCTTTAAACAACTTCCAACAGGATGTAAATCCAGTAAATTCAACATGAAATAAATTAAAACGAACCTAAAGAAAGAAAATCGTAAAATGCTAGGGCGTCGATTCTTTCATCGTCGTCGCGCTATAAGGTTCATGTTATCAATATTGCGCATCTCATAAGCCTCTAGGCAGTGGCCTGGGTGAAGTCCGTGTAGACCCTGCTTAATAAAACGTTATTCCCCATTATGGACGTTGATGCCTGCTTTTCGCATCAATCCTTTCAACCGTGGCATGTCACGTTTGGAGGCAGAGAAGAGATCGTCAGAGACGAACGCTCGAGAAATCCTCACTCCCCAATAAGTTCTCAATCCAGGCTAAGTTAGGCCTAGTTAAACATACGCGATAGTACAACCTTTCATAATGTTCCTGCGTCTAGGGGACATTGTAGGGCACCAGTGGTTCTTGTCTAGGTTAGTTTATAGACCACTGGGTAATGGACCTAAATTATGAGGAGTTCTTTCTTGCAATGATGAGTTTGACGACACATCTCTGATTGGCTGTAATTAGGTTCCTTTTGCACTATAGTTGAATCCATTCCAACTCTTCGCCCAGATCCTAGAGCCTTGGTTTCGACCGAACAAGAGCGCTTGTGCTAAGCAATGTCGCTTTATATTATGCTATGCGGTTAAAGTTCCGTTGGGGGCTGGGTCTATCTAGGCCTAGGCAGTCTTTAGAAGACGACCCCGTTCCATCAAGTCTATCACCAGTACCAAAGAAGAAGTTGTGGCAGATATGGGAGATGTCATTCGGGGTGATCGTCGATTGTCCAACGGAGACCTTCAACGTCGGGTTTGGGCTGTGGCAGTACACAGACCATTATGACTGACATTCTTGGCACGATCTATGTCTGCTGCCGTTTCGTTTTGCATCATCTGTCTAACGATTAACACTGCGTACAGCTCATGGAGGTCTTTGTTTTTAAGTGCTTCTGCGTAATCTATAGTGGAAAAAGTTATAGCCTTGTAGGCATTTAGCTTTATGTCGAGATAACTCAGGCTTATGTCAGTGCGGCGGATGGTCGGGGTGATATACGCAATTTATTCAAAACAGTTTCGCGTGGATATGTCACAATACTCTTGCAGATGTCGATTTCCTGCATTCTAATGTAACTAGTGAAGCGGGATGAATGTGTTTCACCCAGAGATGAAACTCTGCATCACTGGGTGATGCAGAGTTTGCAATGGAACCTGAGAAAAGTTGACCAGTAGAGACACCAGGTATTATAAAGTGTAAGCGTGCCTTCCCACAACTCCTGAGGATGCGCCTTCTAGACGCATCACCACGGTTCCATATCCACCTCATTCATTGGATTTGGCACCCTGTGACTATATCCTGTTTCCCAAATTGAAATCCCAGTTGAAGGTGCGTCGATTCGACGATCTCGACGACGTGAAAGTGGTCACGACGACCATCCCGCTGGAAATGTCATGGAAGCTCTCAGTGTAGCTCCAAGGGTATCCAATTGCACGGAGACTACATTTCAGGCGACCACATCTGAACTTCGCGGTGAGTCTCCTCTAATTCTTAAGTACGTTGGCGACGTTGTGGTACCATTTACCGAATTGGGGGCCCAAAATGTCCGCTTTTCTGGCCATACCTTTGTATTCCTCCCCTACAAGACGGTTCTATTAAGAATAATTTACGTTCGTGGACCTCTTGGATGTGTGTGAGAGAGAGAGTATACATACGAAATTCCGTTCCTGTTGATGCACTCACAGAGGAATACGAGGAGGTTCAACTTTGCTGCGGGAAAGCGTTGAAGAAAGTTAATGAGCAATACCAAAGCCAATCGATAAATTGCGGCATGAGGAATCCGGAGAGACTAAATTTTAGACACCCTTGTTCTGCACATGTTATTTTTGCTGGAGGAAGGAGATGAATGCAGATGCGCGTCCCTGGCACAGAACACTACGGATTCAATGAACCAAAATCGCACAAGCATGTGTACCGCAATAAATCTTCAAGACGGCAAAGACAACCTCGGCGTCAGACGGCTAACTCAACATATTATAATTAAAAAAGAAACAATTCAGGGTCTTCCAACATTAAGTAAGGTTATATTCCACGTGTTTGGGGTAACACGGATAAAACAGCCAGAGCAAATAAACTTGTAAAAAAATATGTGCATTTTTTAGACCTTTCTTGGGAGACAATTGAAAAGCGTGGATTTCTGTGTGGAACAAACGTCTCACCGATAGAAACAGACTCCCCGATGAGTGTAGGTGTAAACTGATTCACACGAAGGGTTCTGCGAGAACGATTAATGTAAGGGAAACGTCGTCCTTTCAAGTACGACACGAAAACGGACCATCGAATTATTTTGATGCACGAAGCGAATTCAGGGCAAGCGGAATTCGCAGAACACGGCCTTCACATCCGAGCATCTGGCGTCGTTCCACTTGTCGATGAACGTGCTGGGCGCCGAAGGGAGAGTCCAACGAAGTTCCATGCATTGCTCCGGGATCCCGTTGAAAATGAAGGATGGCTGCCCGGGATACCAGAAGGTCTGACCCGACACGGGGGTCCCTGCGGCAAGGACGGAATACCGGGATGACGATGGGATCCACCGTTGCGAGTGCAACTGCTCCATTCATCCTCCGGGAAGACCTAACTCTCTTTTTCAGAAAAGGATTCCTAATACGTATCACCTCGTGCTACCGAGGACGGTCGCATCGGACTCTCCTTCCGATGACAGTCTCGGATCGTTCTCGAACGATATGGAAGCGACATTCGTTAGCTGCCCGACTTGCACTCGGCTAGAATTCTTGCTTAGACAGTAACGTACCAGTAACGATAAAAGTTGAATACCAAATCGCTTGCGATGAATTCCACTACCATCTCTCAGATGCGCTGTAATATCGACAAGTCACCGTTCGCGGGAGATCGGGGAAGTTCTTACCGTCGTTCCAGTAATAGACGCGGTTGCCGTCGAGGTCGTTGCCCCCCAACCAGAAGTTGCTCGTTGCTCCGATTTTCGACGTGGCGTATTGCAGGATGAAATTGTGCCATGCGACTCCTTTGTCGTCCTGGACGAGGTTGGCCTCGTCGGGCTGGCAAGCGGCCACCCCGGTTGAAAAATTCATCCTCGTGTCCAAATTCTTGAGAAAATGGATCTTTGTCGTGATCATCGCGAAGGCGTAACTGGGTGGGATGAGGTTCTCTGCAAAAAAAACATCGGCGAAGTGATCCGTGCGAAGCGCCAAGTTTCGATCGTGCAATTCAACGAACGGAACGCATGGCGATCTCGTCGCTTCGGAAACCGAGCGGATCGCAAAATGACCCAGTGGCGACTGTCTCGACCACGAAGCCCACTGCTATTTCTCGTGCATGGGAAACATAATCTCATCACTTTCCGTCCCGCTCATGGAGATTCTCGTATTTGGGACATTTCGCGAGTCATTCTGCTCGGCCTATAGTCGAAAAAGTGATGGCTTGAAGCTTGAAGCCTCCAAGGCTAAGGCAACCGAGACTTAGGCCGGAGCGGCGATCGACGGGGTAAAATGTCCTCTATGCAATGGGCTAAAAGCGCGAGATAGTTCCTGGATTTTACGTGGGGACGATCAGGCTGAAACAATTCGCAAAGAGAACTATAGGCTGGGCGGGAACTAGGACACAGTTACTAGTTCTTTACCTGATCTCCAAGACCTGAGATATTATGATTATTTTGGTTTTACTTTTTTGTTTGTATGGGCTTTTCTTTTCTCATATATATTTCATGCACACGCGTATCAAATCATTAACGAGCGAATTGCGACCTTCGGAAAATTCTTCACTTCAAGAAGACCGATCCGTGAAATCCGTACGAGAGCCATCATTTTGAGTCATCAAATGGATTGGCCAGGTGCTTACGGTCGACATAGAGGGAAGCAGACATGCCGGCGGGATTTGTCAAGATGGTGGAAACACTGCTTCCCAGCTGACAGACCGTTGTGTTGGGCCGAGTCTCGAGAGAAAACACCCGGCAGTTCGCGTTCCTTTCGATCGTAGAAACGAATTAGCTTCCCATAGGTCCATCCCGCGAGGAAATTCCCTCGGGGCAAGTTTACCTGAGGCAGGCATCCGCGCAGGTGACGGTATTCCAGCCGGGGAGGGTCGCGAGGGGATTCGCGATCGTGGCGCTCACGCCGTCGATGCCGTTGAAGATCGTCTGTTTCATGTCCAACGCCAGTGCGGTCCCGAGCGAGCACAACACGACGAGGAAACTCACCTGGCAAGAGTAAATATATATATACTAGCGAGTATAGCGAGAGCTATGGTCGCGCCTTCGGCGCTCCCTTACCTCGGATAGTGATTAATTCATTCATTTTTTACGAAATGGGAAACACGTATTTAAAGTACGTCCCCATTGACATACGTGACATATGGGGTCGAATGTCTTGATTTTTTTCATCAAAATCATTACCTCTATGATTCTGTGTGCCTAACTTGAAATCTTTTCTTGTGTCCTTTTTTGAAAGGGTGGAGAATACGTTTTGAAAAACTTCCCTCCAATAATCTACGCTGAGGATACATTTTTCAAAATTAGGATTTCTCCTCTACTCAGCCATCAAACAGAGTACCTGTTTCATGGTAAACTTTTGAGGGAAGTTTAAATTTCCTGTCTCTGTTTCGTTGGATCAAAAAAAAACAGGAAAATGGGACTGAAAAGTGCACTAATGGTGTTAACGAATTTTTATTATTATTTTGAAATGTCGACTCATGGAACTCCATGCCACCCAGTTTCAGCCTCATACATTTCCCCTTTTTGCTGACGATAAGAAATATATTTGGAAAAGCAACCCATCCAAAAGCTGTGCTCTGGGGAAACGCTCAGCTTAGAATTGTTTCTTTACTCTGCTATTCATCAGGTACTTCATGGCCAAGTTTAAACTTTCCTGCACCCTCCGCTTTGCTGGATCCATGCCCCCAGGGGATGGATAAAAATGTTTGCATTTTTCCTTATCTCATCGTGTCGGTATGCACGTCCATGCCACGTTTACGCTTTCCATGTATGAGGATGTATGAGGAATCTTAAACTGCAGCCCGCTCCATCCGATGAGCCGCAGAGTATGCAGGAAATTCTCCATAGAAGAGGAAATTCAACGAATTAAAGTTCCATACTAAAAAAAAATTTTTTTAAAAAATGAAATAAAAAAAGATGCTCACCGCCCTTAGAATCCCCGGCTTCGACGCCCCTCGACGTCCCGGGTCCCTCATCCGACAAATCATCTCCAGCGAAACCCCCACAGTGTCGTTTTCGAATGGGATTGCGATGCGCGTACGGGTTGGGTCTGTCGAAGGCAAAAATTCTGTGGATTTCAGTTTTAGGAGAGAATCTTAAAGCAATGCGGACATGCATCACCTTTTAACCATTCTAGTGCCACGAGCGGGAACTAGAATTAGGGTAGAGGGACCAGTTTGTGGACAGTTTCGCGTTTTCTGCCATTTCGCTAATTTATTTCCTCAAATGCTAAATATTTTGCAATTGTTTGTTAGTCACCATATTGAATTTCAGGGTATGGGCGTGAAACTATGATAAGTGGCCTCCCGTTGAAACCAATGCTCGGTTACCCCCAGCGACCGTAACGCAATTTTCAAGAGGAAAATTTTCTTAACCCGTCCACAAACCGTTGCCTTTACCATAGTCGATGGTGGGGGAGCTTGGAGCGGTGCACCTCGCACTTGTCGACGCTGGTGTGCAATTCGAGTTCGAGGACTTTTATTTCCTCGGAAGCTGTCAGAAAATTTTTGAACGGAGGAGTCCATTTAGAGTCCGGAGGGAGACAAATTTCAACCACCTTCGTTTTTCGCCCCTAAATCCGTCCCGTCCCCATCTCGATGTTTGTGGAACCTGCACCGTTGCGAGAGAAAAATGTCCATTGTCCATTGCACGTAGGTTTTATCGACGTGGTTGTACCGATGAGGCGGATGAATATCTTTGTTACCCTAAAGTAAATAATGCTGGGGCGACTTCACGGCAAGTGGGATTTTGCTTCATTTCTCATCAAATTCGAGAATTGGCACAATTAACTGAGAATGCGTACTTCATTTCAATGTATCCTATTCGTTGTTGGAGTTGAATTACCCTTTGCAGAACGTTCTCGGATCTATATATTACGAGGACTTGGATTAAGGACAGAGCGGAAAATTCCTTCTCGAACCCATCCGCATCGGTTGACTTGTTGGCCCATCTCCCCTAACATTCTACTGCCGCAATCTGGTGCGAGAAACCTACTAGAAACCTATGCCTTTCCAGGACATGGGATGATGCGGATGGGTCAAGGTTAACCATCATTTATCTGTTTATTTTTTTTCGCACACTGTATTTTTTCGGCACTTGGAAAAGCGAAGCATTCCTTTTCTCCTTGATACAACTTCATTCTGAATTAATTTACGTCCCTTTCGCTCTTTTTAATAATGGCTCCTTTTAGGACAACCCAGTGAAGTAGCAATATCGACCTTTCCAATGGGAGAGCGTGAATCCGAGTCGGATTGCGCGAATATCCGCGATTTCCGGAAAGTCATGTTTCAGCTATCATAACACAAATCTTGCACTGAGATTTGGTCGGCCTCACAACCGATTGCCAACCTCTACGAACCACCGAGCAAAACAAAAAGCTGTACTCGTGAAGAACATGCTGATTCTCTTCGTAGGTTTCTGCGAAATACCGACAAGAAAGGGCAAGCAATACCTCCCAATTATCTACCAACATCATTAAGATGGAGTGAAGGACGCTTATTCTAGTACCTTCTCAAGTAAAATACATATGCAAACAGATTCTGATGACTCATACCGGAGTATGAATTGGCACGGTATCCAGATATTGTCTTCAAAACTCGGTTTTGATCGAATTCATGGAAGGGACAAGTAGGAAAGTAAAGAAAATAACACGCGTGACGCTAATTTAACGTCAATAAGGTGTGTATGTGTCGGTGGAGGGGGGGGGGGGGTTGCCATTTTCGCCATACAAGCAGTGCTTCATCTTTGCGATGCACAGCTAGATGCGGTAACTACAGACTTCCTTTGGGTGCCCATTGCAGCAGGTCGAGCGATACGACCGTTGAACCTCGTAGAGAAAGAACTAGAACTAGTCTTTCTCACTCACCGTGAGAAAGACTCACTCACCGTGACGACAGAAGAGTTGCGGTGGGACTGTCCCGAGTCCACGCCAATCACCTCCGTATATTCCGTACGTGATGATCTGCGTGCTCCTGTTGGGTTTCCCCGGCAACGATATTGCGCATCGGCAGTGGACCCTCGACCGGCCAGAGAAGGGCATCGTTCCCGCCCGTTCGTCTTTCGTGATCTTTCACTTCGGATCCGAATGAGGCGATTTCGGTGGCGAACTGGCGGCGTCGGAACTAAATTGCACTCGAGACACTAGAAGAAACACCATCGGAACTGGGAGTTCCGATGGTGTTTCCCTGCGACATCCGCAGAGGCCTTCGACTTGCTACAGGTCTGGTATTTAGCAAAATATATAACTTTTTAACTAATGAGGGAATAAATATTATTTTTTAAATATTATTATTATTTATTGTTATTGTTATTTATTATTATGTATTATTTCAAAGTAGATGCACACCGCATGAGTGCCAAAGTTGACCAAACACGATCTTTGGCTTTCGGATGAAGCCAATCATACGTCGGCACATTATTTGGCACATGATATAACTTCCCGTCTCGTGCATCCGCAAGACGGGAAGCTATACGTGATGTGCGAATGTCGTAGCATTTCGATTGGCCCAGAACAACTGAAAAGAAAAGTTCTGCGAAAATTCCGAGTTTGCTGGAACTTTTCTGATGCAAGCCCATCGAGGCGAGAACCGATCCACCAAGGACACGGACACCAAGGCCACCAAGGCACTTCTGGTTTCTCCAAGTCCGGTAGGCTGAAAGAGTTGTATTTGAATTGAGTCCGTTTAGCTGTCGACAGGTAAATGGTTTCAATTTCTATACTCGGGAAAGGCCGTTTTCATCTGAAAGTTGACGGGCGAGTGGTTAACATCCACAAAACTGTCCTCAAAAGTCTCTGGGCCGAAAATTTGAACAGGGAAAGTTGAGGATTGTACGCAGTGAAAGTAACATACGCAAAAGACAAGAGCTTCCAAATATCTTGTCGTTGCCGACTGCTGGAAGCATGAAGTGGTTGGCCTTAGGGCCTTCTTCGCATCTGCATGCGTCCTCAAACTCACAATTTCCTCGACCGATAATATGCCGTGCTCGAGAAGTTCATATCCTTTCGCCCCCCCCCCCCCACAAATTCGTATCGAGAACGAGGCAGGAAGTACGATCATTTCGTGTATGCCTCGAGAAGCGAAACTCGTATTCCGCATGGTGATGCAACTCGTGACGATCATCTTTTCTCGCTTTCGGGTCTGAAGGCACAATGAACATTTTTTAAAACGTATTCTTTTGTTGCACAGGAGGAGTAGGCCCAGGCACGCTCGTTTTCACGGTCAATTTGACATACGAGGGGCATTTCATAAATTCTGCACAGGTTGGCAACACTGAATACTGGATGATGTTATGACCGCCATTTTTGTCCCAGTTATAGTTTGAGCCTATGAGTGCTTTCATGCCGAATCTTGTTGCTCTAAGTGCTGCTGTTTAGAAACAGTAAATTTTCAAAATGGCCAGTGCAGAGTTTTCGGGTACGGTGACACGAAACGATCAGCGATCTTACATTAAAATTGAAACTTTGCGCAATAAA